CTGCGTTGTAACAGCCCGTGAAAAAAAAAAAAAAAAAAAAATCAAGTTTCAAAACTTTTTTGCAAATACTGTTTGAGCTATACTCGGGCATCTCCTGAGCAACTGTGTTAGGGAAGTGGACCTGTTGTGATGGACTGTATCTTATCAAAGTATTATTTTCACATGATACTGAAAGAAAAGTGATGATTATGATATTTTTGGCTTGATTTTGACAATAAGTGACCAAGAAAACAACAGCCTACTGTATATTTTATGCAAGTACTGTATTAGTTTTAAAGTAGAACTACATGATGTTGCACTAGCATGAACAGGTTTCTCTGTTTCTTGCTTGGAAAAGAATATTTTTAATGATGACGAGGGCAAAGTAGTACTTGAACACTAATAATAATAAAAAAAATTATCATAATTTGCCAAGGGATGTGTGTACATTTGAGACTATTATCTTGTCTGGCATTGTACTATTTTGCCCATGTATAGCAATGAATATCCATATAAAACATTAAAAAAAATGGATTTTTACCCAAAACCTCTGACAGTTTTTGAGTATTACTGTTGTTTTCCTGGATGCTCTCATCAGAAAATCACCACCTAGGATGAGATATAATTTACAGAGAGATTTATGAAATTCATTCTTGTGTACAATAGAAATCATATAAGCAGTAGTCGTGTGGTTTTACCACCTCCATGCTGTTTATCAACATGTGCTGTGTGCTGTGTTAACGAAGCCGGCTGAACGTATAGAAATGTCCGTTCGGTCCAGATGGTTTCCCCCTGGGAATTCTGACTGACGTCCAGTTTCTGACAACCTACAGCAGGTCAGTCACGAGCAAAAGTATGGCGGTGTATCATTATGTGGCTGCATGTATATTTATGTCCAACTCATCATCATGTGGTAGAGCAAACAAGGAGTGGACAAAAAAACAGAAACACTTCACTTTACAGTAGGCCAAGGTGTTAATATGAGCTTTTAAATAGGCCCCACCCATAGTGCTGGGTTTTGTTAAGCTAATTCATTTAGTAACAATTTATTTTGTTTGGCCCTGATATTCACATAATTTCCTAAAAAAAACATTAGATTTCCTGAAATAATGTAATTTGGTTCTGCAGTAGTGATAACAGCAATGGAGATTGGTACACTTAGACTTTGAATTTATTTCTATAGTAGTCGATGAGCTTACAAAATGACAGATTTTTAATTAGGCAATTAAGCAATTCAATGCATATGAGCATCTGAAAGGTTTGTGATATCAGCTAAATAATGCATGAATACTTACTTAGGTTAAAATCAAGCTTTCAAGAAAGTTTCTACAGTATTTTCTTTATCATTAATACTTTGCAAAGTTATTTCAGAGACATTTTCTATACAGTTGTTAGGATGTTATGAACCCATAAAATGAACCAATCATTTACTTAGCAATAATCTTTAATTAAAGGACAAACATTGGTGTCTTAATTCTTGATTTGCAGTATCAGTGGGAAACACTACAAAATGTCTCATGATGCCGTGTACTAAACAGATTAGCACTGCTTTAGCAAACAAAGTGGTCATGAGAAAATCTGAACCCACATCACAAAACTAAACATTATATATCTGTAAACTGTGATTGTGCTTCTGTAACTTTGATATGCCCGGCTTTGTTTGTATTATAAGTTTCATTTCTGTGTTAAGGTATGCAGGGTTTTAAGATCACAGCGCACTTGAAGTCTGTCCATGTGCAAATAACCAGTTACTAAAAGGTCACAGTTGGTCAGTCTAACAGAATCAGATGCTACTGTATATGTTGACATTATGCTGTGTATCAGGGGTTCCCACATGTTTTGGCTCCTCATCAGTGTTTGCATATTGTACTGTATGTCTGCTGGTTGTGATCTGTTAAATGAAGAAGGCCTTTTTCCCTTTGTACACTGAATTGCTTAAGGGGCCGGATTTGTCTTGAGACATGTCTTGGGCGATCTGATCCACTGCTCAGTAAAGAGAATGATGCACCAAAGATCAGGAAATGTGGAGGGGAAAGGCCATAAATGCATAAAAACACTAATCAAATTGTTGTAAAAACAGAATTAAAACATCAAAGTGTCAGTTGCTGAGAATAGAGCAATGTTCTCTCCACTAAAACATCAGACCAGCTTGTAAGGCCTGGCCCTGTGCCTGTGAATCTGCCTTCAGCCATTAGACATGCACAGAATTGCAACAGAAGGAGTATCCATTCGACAGATCCCTGTATTGACTCCCTGTGGCTGGAGCATCTGCTGTTTTCTACTTTGGCCGTAGACCTGAGTATTTATGACAAAGACAGAAATAGTTCCACTGAGAAGGTCAGCTATGGCGTTACGTCACTTAGCTTCTTCTCTCTTTTTGGAAAAATTCCTGGCAGGTTAAAACCAAAGGTTTCTGTCGCATAATTCTGCCAATTTGGACTCAATGTTAAAAGTGCTCTTGTGTACAGTCATGGCCAAAAACATTGGCACCTCTGCATTTCTGTCAGATAACACACGACTTGTCCAAGAAAATTGCTGCAGTCACAAATTCTGTGGTATTCTCATGTTTATTTCTTTTGTTTGCATTGGAACAACTGAAAAAAACAAACAAACAGAAAAAAGCCAAATCTGATCCATTCCACACAGAACTCCAAAAATGGACTGGACAGAATTATTGACACCTTCAACTTAATATTTGGTAGCACACCCTTTGGACAAAATAACTGAAATCAGCCATCTCCTGTAACCATCAGTGAGTTTCTTCCACCTCTCTAATTGGATTTTGGACAGCTCCACTTTTAACCGGCAGCTCCAGTTCTCTCACATTTGAAGGGTTCCTACTCCCAGATGTTGTTTTGAGATCTCTTCACAGGTGATCTATGGGATTTAGATCTGGACTCACTGCTGGCCACTTCTGGTGCTTTTTGAAGTCATTGTCCTACTGTAAGACCATGACCTCTGACGGAGATCCAACTTTCTGACACTGGGCCCTACATTGGGCCCCGGAATTCACTGGTAGTCTTCAGAGTTCATAATTAGTCAAGACATTCAGAACCTGAAGCAGCAAAGCAACCACAAAACATCAGTGAACCTTCTTTTCTTTGAAGCCCTCATTTCATTTTCTGAAATCAGTAGAATGATGTGCTTGACCAGAAAGCTCTACTTCTGTCTCATCTGTCCACAGGACATTGTCCCAGAGGGGCTGTGGCTTCCTCAGGTAAGTTTTGGCAAACTCCAATCTGGATTATTTTAGATTTCTGTGTCAGCATTGGGTCCCCCTGGGTCTCCTACCATTCAGATGGCGGATAGTGAGAGCTGACACTGCTGCACCCTGTGCCTCCAGGTCAGCTTGAACTGGTTTGGAAGTTGATCGAGGTTCTTTATCCATCATTCAAACAATCCTTTGTTGCAATCTGTCATCTATTTTTCACTTTTGTCCATGTCCAGGGAGATTAGCTACAGCGCCATGGGCTGTAAACATCTTGCACACAGTGGACACAGGAACAGCCAGATCTCTGGAGATGGACTTGGAGCCTTGAGACTGTCCAGGCTTTTCCACTATTGTGGCTCTCAAAATCTCAAGACAATTCTTTTGGTCTTTTTATTTTCTCCATGCTCAGTGTGGTCCATACGACTTAAAGTAAGTGTCAGCTTTTCTCCATTTTAACCGGTTGCAAGTGTGATTTCCATGCTGCCAGCACCTGTTGATGGCTACAGGAGAGTTTTATTACCGAGGGGCAGTAAACGTTACACGTGGAGGCTGTCCCTTTAAAGAGAGTTCAATGCCCGAAAACATGTGCGAAGCTCCAAGATGGACCTGAAGGCGCTGGCTGTGAATGCGTTGGCCCAGAATAAGAAGGCCGCTATTCTGATCGGCGGAGCTGGCGTTGCTGCTCTGGGACTTGGTCTTGGATATAAATACCTGCGAAAGCCAGAAAAAGTTGTTCGCGTGGGCGTAGTATCGCAGCTCCTCCTTTACCCTCTGAAGTCTGGCAGAGCGGTGCCTGTGGTTCTTGCCCAATGCCAGAAACTCGGGTTGAGTTTTGGAGAGGTGCGGGATCGGTGAGTGTGGTGCACAAAGGATAATGCGCACTGTGTGCTGTCATCTACTCCACTGCATTTATATATGATGCATTATCAAAGCTTGAAGGCATAGCTGGATTACTGAATGGGTCTACTGGCCATCGGGGCTCCTGGGAAGCCTCTGTGATGAAATGACTGTCAGACAAACAACCGCAAAGAGACACAAAACGAGTAAAAGTAGATGCAAAACAAGTATGAAGACAGAAAAACAATGAGTAAATTTGAGTTTAAAACATGTGACTACAAATAGACAAAATGATTTGGCTATTTCTGTCTAAGGCTCTTGCTGTCATGAGAGCTAGGGTTTGTACATGTTTGTGTCCAGAGGTCCATTGTCTCATAATGCGTCCATGATTGAAGGCCTTTCACATCCACAAGTTTGTGTTTGTTCCAGTACTTTTAATATGGCCATGTTAAAAGTGTGGTTAAGATATCTAATGCCTTAATAAGCTAAACTTTCCATGGTTAAATTAATATCTGTTGCACTCACTGTAAAAAATAATCCCCAAAACATTTTTTATGGCATCTTGACTGTTTTATTGCCACAGGTTTGGTCTCTCTTTATGGAAGCCTATTTCTGTAGCAAATAGGTTTTGCTTTTTTTTTTTTTTTAAGTCACTCCTGACTCTTTTTTTTTTCTAAAGTATTTTCTTTACTCACAATGTTTCATTGAAATGGGCTTCCATAAAGTTTGGATGCCTTCTAGTAAGAAAATAAGGAGCTCCTGCATTTGCTTTGACTTGCGTTCTGTGTGGTGTGTTGAGAGTGATGCTGCTTCTTTCCAAGTGTGCATCTAGTTTAATTCAGCCAGGAACACAAAAAGGAAAACCTAAAAGCAACTTACCAACTGCTGTTGTTTAGGTTCCACTCACTGGGCACTCAGTTTGGTTTTGGAAGGTAATGTCCCTCATTGTGTCCCAGTATCAAGGTTATTTATGAACTTTTGTGAAGAGTTTAATGTAGACGTGTAGCAGGCCTACAACCTTACAAGCCTCAGACTTTGAGGGTAATGCCCAAGTTTCATTCAGCTCTCCAGTGGTAACACCTCAGACGATTCACAAAGAAATGCAGGAGAAATGCATAAATGAGCAGGAGTTCACAAGGAAGTTTGTGAATGTGTAAACCATGCAAAGACTCTGTGCCTAAGTGGGATAGCTTATATTTAAAATGTAGTCTGACTTGGTGGATGCACTAATTGCTATTGTCCTAGCTAGAGACACAGCGCCAGTAGTCAGTTGGCACCTCTCCCAGCTCGAAGGCTGCTTGTTCACAATGTGGTTGGGCAGGCTGTATTGTCTGTGTGAACTTTTATCTATAAAGTACTCATTTTATTTTAAGTAATCAGATTTTATTTTAGAAGATCTGGTAGCTGGAATTATTTAAGGAAATCTTATCAAGCCAAATCTTTTTGTCAAACAATCGAAATCTAAAATATTCTCGCTTAAATTTCATGGAGCATTTTTGCAGCGTACTGCTGTTGCATAACAATCGAGAGCTGGCTTAAATCCTCAAAGAAACGTGGTTTGCATATAATTCTTAGATCAATTTCCAACTGGTGGGTAAAAATAAATTGTGATTTAAATGTGGGATTTCAGCATGAGTCAGCAGCACTGCTATATCCATGGTAACCTGTGATGTTATCAGTCCTGTCTTGTTTTCTTTTTTTTTTGTTTTTTGTTTTTTTTATTTCCTTTCTTGTAACTTTGTCACAGAGTGCAGGTTTAGTGCCCGGACCCTGGGAAGTAAACCAGGGATGCTGAATGGTGCAAGTGGGAGAGTTTCCCAGTTCTGTTTGTTTCGTTCACAGGCACTGGCTGGTGGTGACAGAGGATGGCCACATGGTGACGGCCAGACAGCAGCCTCGTCTGGTGCTGGTGTCGCTGACCTGCGAGGGTGGGCAGGTTATTTTGAACGGACCGGACATGGACGAGCTGAAGTTCCCTGTCAAACAGCCCGACAACTCTGTCATTGACTGCAGGTCAGCCCCACGGTTCCGTTTTGACACCTCAGTCTTCTCTTATTGAGTAACTAGCTCTTTTGCTTCACATTCTGCTAAGGTTGCCACTGACAACTATTTTCAGTATCTCTTAATTAAAACTATTTTCTAGTTTGTTGGGTCAGAAAAGCATGAACAATGTCTGCTATAACTTCGCGCAGTTTAAGGATGATGTCGTTAAATCTTCTTTTCATGCCCAAAAGTCTGGAATCCCAAAAATATTCAGTTAGCAAGATGCAAAGCAGAGAAAATCAGTAAACCCTCCAACCTGAGAAGCTGGAGTCGGTGAATGTTCCTGTAGTTTCCTTGAAAAATGACCAGAACTTTTAATTGATGATCAAAATACTTCATGATTCATTTCAAAGCTCTAATTTCTGCTCCTTTTGTCCACTAAAGCCATTGTATTATTACTGTAGATTCAGATATTGGGTTTGAAAGATGTACTTGGTTCACACTGGGGTTTTTTTTCCATCTTCTACATTGTTTACTTTTGTTCAGACTTGAATTAGTGCTTCTTGTTGTTATTATTGTGCTGCAGAGTGTTCAGCACTGACATTCAGGGACGGGACTGCGGCGACGAAGCATCTCGCTGGCTCACTCGTTATCTGGGGGCGGAGCAAACCTTTCGCTTGGTGCACTTTGAACCTCAGATGAAGGCCAGGAGACCAGTGGAGATGGTGCCTCTGTTCCCACTGGATGAGGTAGCAACTGGGCGGAAGATACTGTTGTCCTGCCTTTTGTTTCACTTTAAGCCTTTCTGAACTGAAAAACCCAGCATTGACATTTATGATTGTACTTGATCTGTTCATCCAGCGGGTGGTGTACCCAGATGTCGCACCTGTGATGCTGCTGTCAGAGGCCTCCATTAAGGATCTCAGCAGCAGGTTAGAGAAGGACGTCACAGTGGAGCGTTTCCGCCCGAACATAGTGATAAGTGACTGTGAGCCGTTTGATGAGGTGCGTTGTCCAGCGTTTGCCAACAAGAATCACATCAGCAAATATTACTCAGATTTCTATTCCATGCTTATTCATATATTTGGCTAAAAGATTAGAAATTCTGGTTACATAAATAAAGAAAAATATATCAGACAGTCATTAAAAGATTAGATTAGAAACAAGTGTCTTAAAAATAACAGATCCACCGTGCCTCTACACTATAGCCCGTGAGGCTACGTTTCCCTCCTGTCTGTCCTTTACTTCTGACTAATACCTCGCCCTTTTCAGTGTGAGCAGCATGGACTAAATTTATCTCCAACTTCAAAACCAACTGCTTTGCTTTTTCAGGATTCGTGGGAAGAGATCCAGATTGGCAGCGTGCGACTGCAGCGTGTAATGTCATGTGGAAGGTAACATGGTGGATGCTTCACACAATCACTTCATTTACAAACAGTGGTGAATACCGCTGCTGCTGGGGTTTGGAGTTTGATTCCCTTGATACAGATTAAATCCATCAGAGAGGGTTTATTTGATGTTAAATGTATCAGTCTCTGTTTTTTATGTGAACTTTTTCCAGATGCCTTGTGACCACGGTGGATCCTGAAACTGGTATAATCAGCAGAAAAGAGCCTCTGGAAACACTGAAAAGGTAAAATCTGAACTTGGTATTATTTAGGAATGGTTCATTTGTTGCATTTTGGTAATAATCATTGTTGCCAGATTGGGCAGTTTTCTGCTCACTACTTCTGCTATGAATGATAGATTATAATAAACTAGCAGGGGCAGCTGTGGTTCAGTGGGTACAGCAGTCGTCTCCCAACCGGAGGGTCCAGGGTTCGAATCTTGGTGCCTGCAGTCCATGTGTCAAAGTGTCCTTGGGCAAGACACCGTTGCCCCCGATGGTTAGAGCCATCGTTGAGTTGATGCTGTAGATGGCCGCCTCGGTTCTGTACCAGAAACAAATTCCTTGTTTGTAACGTACTTGGCCAAATAAAGGTGATGATCCTTAGCTGTGCCTTTGTCCAGTCCCCTACATTCTTAAGAAGAATAAGGGATTGCTGAGGCACTGAATGACAGGGGAGTGATGATCAACAAAATAAAATCAAATGCCATTTTAGTCCACTGCAACAAGGTTGAAGGTTTCATCTTAACTTGCATTCAGTTTGAAAGTCTATGGTAAAAGCAATAAACAGTAAAATCTTTCATATGTCCTCATAAGTGAAGCTTTTCTGTTTGAGAGAACTTCACATTTAACATTGCGCTCCTGTAACACTGTCAGACTCACAATGGATAGTTTTGAATAAGTATAAAACTGGAGATGGTTTTTCTTTTTCCTTTGGCACATACCCACAGTGTAACTCAACCAGCAACAAAGGCTTTGATGTGTACTAGTCACTGATAATGTAGCCTACATTCACTAGTCTTACAACAAGCAGAGATGAGGAGCAGGCGATAAGACGTCTCGTAAGCTCTCTTCTGCTTCACTTAACACCTACAGATGTTTTACATTTTTAGACCTGTGGTCCTCAAACCCTACTGGTGTATCAGACTTCACACAGCCTCTCTGCAGCCACAAAAAGCTTTCTGCAACTTTTGTCAGATAAGCTACTCCCCAAAACCAAAATGAAGCTGATGTAAATATACGGTACCACAAGGCATTAAAAAAAAAAATCAATTAAAGCCTACACACGTAGGACAGAAAAAAAAAACGAAGTTAAAAATGTGACGTTTTTTTACTATTTGGTGTCAATAAAATCCAACAGTTTTCCTTATATTTCAGTTTATTTAAATGACGTTTCTATTTCACCCGTGGGCTCAGAGTTGTGGCCAGAGGTGCAACGTAACAAAGTACTGTGTATTTACTCAAGTACTGCACTTAAGTAAAATTTGGATGTGTCTGTGCTTTACTGGTGTATTTTCATTTTCTGCTACTTTATACTCGGATATTGTACTTTTACTGCACTGCATGTATTTGATAACTTTAGCTCCTTCTCAGAATCGGAGGAGTGAAACAAAACATTATAATCATAAGACTACATTTAACCTTGGTGGGAAATTTAGACTACCCAGCAGTAATTCATTAATCATATAATTTAATTAAAACTAGCTCCCCCTTTACCAGCTACAACACATGTGTTGCATGAAGTGTCATAGTGGCCTTTTCCCCATCCAGTGTTGCACCTAAATGCCTTTGAACTCATTCTGATGGCAATTCTTTCACAGCTATCGCCTGTGCAAACCATCCGAGAAGCACATCTACAAGTCGTCTCCGTTGTTTGGACAGCTGTATTCTGTTAAGAAGACGGGGACCCTGCAGGTCGGCGATGTGGTGTACAAGATCAGCTGTTGACAGAGGGAGCCAGGGCGGGAAAAGCGTGGCGCCAGGACATTCAGTGCTTTTCTGAAGGATTGAGAAATCTTTGATATTTGTACAATTGTTGTGCTAGGCCTTACTAAAGAAAATGCCAGAGCTGATGTAGTATACATAAATAATTAATTTAAAAACCACAAATATCACAGTTTTTACAAATGAGCTGCGATTCACAGAGAGACCAATCCACAGAGATAATGTGCAGCTCAAAATATAACAATGATAAAGTGGTCTTTATAGTGGACTGTAATAATTGTTATTCTGCTGTATTTATAGAATGGCTCTTGTATAAGACTAATGGAACCTCAATTAAACACATTTCTAACTACACTTTGAGTTCATTGGTTATTAAATTATGAACATACCCTGAAGAGAGGACTGAAAATCATTTTGCCGTATATTATTTGCTATACTTACTCCTGTACTCGCTGACAATATGAAGCAATTGTGTTGAAAATGCCATTTATTGTTTCTACGCACTTGACGGTGAGAAATGGCGACACCTGCTGGCCACGTCTTTGATACTGCACATGTATGAATGGAGTAACTAAAACCAAGAGCAAGTCAGAATACAGTTTACACGGCCTTAGTGCTTTTATTACATAAGCAACGGTATTATTTTGTGGTGGTCGGTTTGTGTTTAATTGATAATTTGTTATAAAACTAAAAACAATAACAGCTGACCTCATAATGCATGTGGGTGTACCCTGCTTTATTACTGGATTTTGAGGCCCTATCTTGAGTTGTGTCCCAAGACTTCACTATTTCAGTCTTGTCCCTATATGTTACTCCTAAATTAATACTTATTTAATACCACAGAGTGCATGGCGCCAAATAGTTCCAGCTCAGTTCCAGCTGTGCAAATTGCACAGAGCCTGAACATTTGGGGGTTTAATGAGGGCCCTGCAGCTCGTTTTTGCTTCTGGACCCTTTAACGTGTAGGTTTTATTTTATAAATGTGTGTAAAATGTCAAAGTGGTGTGGATTTCAGTAGTGGCCACAGCGCCTCTATTACAACATGCTGCAACTAGTACAGAGACTATGACATTTATTCAAAAACACAAAAAGCTACTTTGACATATATATGTAAAATAGAAAAAAAGTCATATTTATGATATTCATTCATAGAAGGGATGTCATAAGTCTTTTTGTTCTTTAAAACTGTAAAATTGTAGGCCTGCTTATAGTTGTTAAAAGTTTGTAATTCAGTACAAAAATACAGAAAAATAGAGAAGTTAAAATAGAGGCGATTATATTTCATTATAAGCACTTAGTTTGTTAGGTTCTTTACACAAGTGTAAAACGACTAGCTGACTACGGATGCCGTGGATGTATTATGGTTGCTCCCAAAAGTGGACAAGGAAGTGGAACTTCGTCATTTCTTTTTATTTTGCATTTGTTTTGGGGGAAGAGAGTTTGTCAAGTTAATTAAATTAGGAACATCAAAATTCCGTTTGAACGCTTCAACTTAAAATTCCTATTGATTTGTTGACATATAATTCAATTAACAAAACCGTCAACAAATAAATAAAAAGTGCGATTAGAATGAAAAAAGAAGTTACCCATGTGTTTTGTTTTTATTTAACACACACAGACACACAATGCTCTTAGAAAAACAAATGTGTGTTTTTATTTTGAAGACTACATCTGTGGTCTTCCGGTCGCACTTTAGCTAACGGAGCTGGATTTGCCGCGCGGCGATAAGGCGCTGCCAACTCTGGTAGTAACAAAATGTTATTTGTATAGCGTAACCTATGCGGTTAAGGTTCATTGCCACAGCACCAGAGGGTTGGCGGAAGACACAGTTTCATGCTCTGTAGGTGACCTGGAGTCGGTCGAGCCGAGACGCTGCGCCTCGAGACATAAACGGCTGTGGACGCTGCTACAATGAGCTCGGAGCACCAGAGCGACAGCGAGGACGCCGAAGAGTCGCGGGACAGGCCCAGTAGCAGCAACCTCTCCGACAAAGAAGCAGACCCTGACATCGACGACTCAGACGAAGACGATGACATCGCTCGGGGAGATTCTCATTCGCCACCGAGAAGCAGCGGGGACCAGCCGGAGCGCAGCGTCAGGTCCCCGTCGTCGG